ACTACATTTTTTAGTTCAGAAATTATTTCTGATCTGATTTCTTCTATACCTTTGTGCAGTTGTTTCTTTACTTCCAACGCTATTATTTCAGAGATAGCATTGTGATTTCCATTTTCCTCTATGCTAGTGTCTTGTGCATTTGTACTGGGTGGACTCGGGGCCCGAGACTGCATTTTGTTCCTTGTCTTTGTCGTTTTGTATACCACTGTCTTCTGACCTTTAGTGTAGAGCTTAGATAGAGTTATTACCTTAGCACCAGGTCCGGATCTATGAAGTTCAGATTCCTCCAGGTGGATGTTGCTTGGATCTGGCTGCTGTGCTCCACTTCTTCCTGCTGCAGCCATTGGAGTTGAACCCTTTATGTCTCTCTGGCAAGATGTTCTGTTCCTGAATCAGCTGGGTGGGTCTTGCCTCTAGCCTCTTCGCAGGAAGTTCTGCTGAAGGGTTCCACGCTGGGCTTGGGCTCTGTGTCTATTCAGGATCCGGTGGCCCCGGGCGGTCTCACTCAATCCCCGGGCCTGCACTCTGGGTCCCCTAATGGCTTTTTATTCTTTTTTTTTTTTTTAATTCTCTTTAAAAAAATAACTATTTGCTTCTAATTCTCAAAACAGCACTGTGAGGCTGCATTTCCAAAGGTGCCTTCTAATTACGACTACCATAAGCGCTTCCCAGCTAGGACTCACCAAGGCCCGGATAGGACGGGGTCAGCCATCTTGGGCCGTGTAGTGCGCTCAAGGTGGCTGGGACTACACTGCAAGACCCTGTTGGAAAAAAAGAATTTTTCTTTCCCTAAAATGAATAGAAGGCACAGACATCTGAATTAGCAATAAAAGATGATTCCCTGTTCAGCATCTGGGGAGGGGGACCCATTCTGATGCTTAATATTTTAAAACTATTCAGTCTATTTCAATTTCATTTGGCTTTCTTTTGGTGCTAGCAATGTGACACAGGGCCTTGTGCACGCTAAGCACATGCTCTAAACCAGGCTATGCATCCTGCTCACATCAGAGTAGTGACATCCGCTGTGCACTGGCGACACGCCGTCAGTCGTGTGGCCTTGTACTGTGCGTTCGCGCTTAATCTCAGAGACAGATGTCATTTCTTCTTGGTAGACGAGAGAACTGTTTGAGATGCTGTAATCACTGGGCCGACTAGAGGCCGGGCTGGGCCTGCTTCATTTGCTGTACTGCAGAGCTGCATTGTAAAATTCTAGGGAACAGCAAGCTTCTTTCTACCTGGCCTTTCTGCCCAGGTCTTATCCTACCTCACATGAGAGGACTGTCCCCCGCCCTGCCCTTGGCTTGGTGACACTCGCCACCCCCGTGCACCACCGGACATCGCTGCCCCTCTGGCTAGAGATTTCTCTTCTGTACGTTGTACTTTCAGTCTTTTTTTTTTTTTTTTTTGTCTTGTTTTAAAATAAATAAAATAGTTTATTTTTTTGTGGACCATTTTTTTCCCCATAATTTTATTGAGAAAAAATAGCCATGAGA